ATGTATGTAATTCATTCAAATGCAAATCTGTTTACAAAATGGAATTGCATCTTTATAAAAAAAAGGACACGGAAGGGAATCATCGTCACCTTTGCAAAGCTGCAGAATAGCAGGCCCTGTATCCGAATGCCACTTCTTTCCTCCAGTTTCTCAACGCTTGGAAAATTAGTGTATCATGATAAACGTCTAACTAGAAAGCATCTTCCCATGTTTAATTACTGCTTGTTCAACAACTGTTTGAACTTAGGACCGTGCTGAACAAGTGGTAGAAATGACCAGTCCTCATATTTATGTCAGTCTCAGTGTTGCATTTGCTTAACAACAGCAACCAGAAGTGCTGGAATTTCCATCACTAAGTGACAAAGTGTGTGTGTATGTGTGTGTGTGTCATGGTGTGACACTTTACAAACACATCACTTAACAACATAAATACCAGCCCCAATTACCATTACTAAGTACGGACTACCTGTACATTAAGAAAGAATTTGTTTAAAACAATCTCATTGTGTAACTCATCCACCTAGGGTCTAAAATAGGATTTCCCAACCTGGCAATTTCCAGGTATATGGACTTCAACCCCCAGAATTCCACAGCCAGCATAGATATTGCTGAGAATCCTGGGAGTTGAAGTCCACTCACCTTCAATTTACCGAAGTTGAGAAATACTGGTCTAAAACTTCAGCTGAATATAAGCCTATGATTTAGCGAAAACGCAACCAGGGTAAACCATGCTCTGAATTTTGTTTTAGTTCAACTCACATCTGGTGGAAAACTGACTATGTGCCATTAGCTGGCAAGAGGATTCAGACCAGATTCCAAGGGATTTAGAAGAGGGACAAGAAGTGCCTTATGAAAGCATGCGGAGGTTTGACAAAGACTCCTTGAATGATCCAACAGGACAACCAATGTGCTCCCAGTGATTTCCTAAAGGAGAAGGAATTAACAGTCTTCCAATATTTGAGGGGCTGCCACAGAGAGGATGGAGTCAAGTTATTTTTCAAAGCACCTGAAGGCCAGACAAGGAATAATGGATGGAAGATGATCAAGGAGAGATTCAACCGGGAAATAAGGAGGAATTTTCTGACAGTGAGAACCATCGACCAGTGGAGCAGAAGTTGCCTTCAGAAGTTGTGGGAGCTTCATCACTGGAAGTTTTCAAGAAGAGATTGGACTGCCATTTGTCAGAAACGGTGTAGGGTCTCCTGCTTGGGTGGGGGGTTGGACTAGATGACCTACAAGGTCCCTTCCAACTCTGATTATCTAAATTACTCCATTAGAAAAACCCTGCTGATAATTGTAAGAATGGAGTCCTTGGTACCATAACTTCTATTGCTAAGGTGAAAGTGCTCCATTCACTTTGGTGGGAAGGTAACAGTGTTCCGTCTGCCTTTGGGATGTAGCTATGCTGGCCACATGATCACAGAAATCGTCATTGGACAAAGCTAGCTCCCTTGGCCAAGAAACTGAGATGAGCACTGTGCCCTAAAGTCAGACAAGACCGACAGAGAAATCTTTTACCTTTTACTGGAAGAAATATAATGAAACAAGACCAGAAGCTGACCTGGGGAAGGGATTGTTATCAGACATGTTGAGATAAGGAAGAGTGTTCATTACTCCAACCTGTCACATCCACAGCTCCACCAACACTACCTGAACAAAGCTCAGTTTGGTTCCATTTTCTGGAGCCCATGATCCTTATGTTTGGGTGGTTGCCTTCAGCCTTTGGTCAGAAATTATCCTGCGAGGTCCTAGATTCTCAGCTGCTATGGGATGCCACCAACTGGATTAGGATGCCAGGAACTGTTGGTTCCAAATGAGAAGGTTATCACTTCCCTATCTTTTATAGGACAATGTCCAAAGCTCGTAGCATCCCACTTATGTGAAGTAAGCTAAAAGTCAGAATTGCTCAAGGTAACAATTAGCTGCTACCTAATATTATGGCTGAGAAATATAAAAGCAAGGTGACTGTTAAGATGCAGAAGCAGCAGGAAACAGAAGTGATGGGTTTGAACTACGAAGGATGTAAGAAGAGACTCACTCTGATGCTGACCAAGGACATTCAAATGGTTTGAATGACTTCGTTCTTGAATCCAGTCAAGATCCTTCTTTAGCTTTGCCACGTCTAATAGATGGGTAGCTACTATCAGCTCTATCCTAAGGAGCCCAACATTATTTCTCCAGTCCACTCCAGCCAGTTCAGCTCTTCCAAAATAAAAATATCTGAAAGTTCTGATATTGCTAAGGAGATCCTGCGTCCTTCACGAAACACAACTGTCACGACTGCTTACCACATGCAATCCCAAGAGGGAAACTGTCAAATGTATAATGTTAAGCTACATGATGCTACATCATCTCCATAACAGATGCAAATCTGAAAGAGTCTTGAATAAATCTATTCAAGGAGCACCTTGTCATCTCTATAAAAGCAAAGACCCAAAAAGGTCATACATAAAAAGCTGTATTAAAATATCTCAAACAACCGCCCCAATCTGGAATCCACCAGATAATGCATCCTATAGTCCTAATATATCTGGAAGACACTTAAGGGGAAAAGCTGAAGTAAAACTTTGGTCAAAAGTTGAAGGGCGTCAACATGACTCCTATCTAAACCAAATCAAGGCTTTGGGGGCCTCTTCTCTTTTAATTAACCCTTTCCAGTTACAGCCAGCAGAATACAGTGCATCAAGTTCTTAGAGGTTATCTTACTTGAGGAGAAAAAAAGCTTAACAAGGGGGAAAAAAATAAAGAGGTCAAAACTCAAAGAGTTGGCCATCTTTTTCGGTCTCCATCGTGGAATCTACTTTGTCCCAGTCAACCGGCGAGAGGATTTGAGCACTTTGGATGTCTTGAGGTGTCAGGCTGATGTCAAGGACTTGTGGGTTGGTTCGGGATTGTGCCAGCCTGGAATGACAAGGCAAGACAAAAAGGTGAAGAAACGAAGGTGCCAGTGGAAGAGGAGAAGGAAGACACAGCTTCCTAGTACAAGCAGGATAGAGTTTAGAAAAGCTCCCTCGCAGAAATATAGAATTAAATCCCAGGAAAGGGGAAAAAAATAGTAACTCACAAGGAAAGATGGTCCAAGATGATTAGGCTGGAAAATCTGGTTCTTCTATGGCAGGGGTGTCAAACTTGATTTCATTGAGGGCCTCATTATTGTTGTGTTTGACCTTGGGGTGCTGAGGGGGGGCATGGCCAGCTCAATATCACTTGTGTTGGGGGCGCCGGTGGTGGCCTGAGCGCTCTGCCAATGAAAATGGGCACCCAAGCTCCATTTTCGGCTCTGACAGCCTCCTGCAACCCTCTGACAGCGAAAACAGAGCTCAGGAGGGCTCCATTTTCACTGGCAGAGGCCCCACAGGCTAGTCCATCACTGTTTCCAGGGTGGCCCCATGGGACTGATCTAACCATCCCTGGGCCTTGAGTTTGACAGCCCTGATCTATGGGGAAGGACTATCTTTAGTAAAAGGTGAAAGGTTTTTACAATATGAAGAGAAACCAGAAAATGTCTATGGGCCGGGTTCATTTCTCCAACATGGTCAAGTTCTCAGAGTTTGTACTCAGTTCACCAAAAGGTATTCTAGGGAAATCTGGATTCTTCTGTTAAAAAAAAAAGTTGTCAGGGGAAAAAAATGCATCAGGCAAATTGGGAATTAAAATGCTGGTTTGATGCTCATCCCAGCAGGCACCACGATTCATAAATCTGAAGTCCAATGTGCCAAGCTTAACAGTTTCCCCAAAAGATCAAAATGAGAAAGGATGATGCTGAAATAATCCCCAAAACGAGACCTTGGGGGAAATGGATCAATCCATCCGTGCCCACTTCGTCCTTCTGCAACCCTCATCATGCCTCTGTGCAAAGGCTGACCAGCAGAGGGAGCAGTTGGCCCAAAGCCACCACCCGATGACCTCATGAGAAAGAAGAAAGCCTTCCACAGGTGCCAATACCGTCACGTGGGAGGATCAGTGAGAATATTTTTAGTACTTAGTACTTATTTGATTTGCCAATCGCTTACAAGATACAGGTATAAGAATAAATATAGTTTTGAATACATGAGATACTTACAAGAAAAATTAAAAAGAATAGGACAAGGGACAGTAGGTACGATTGGTGCGCTTATGCATGCCCCCTACAGGCCTCTTAGGAAAGGGGTGAGGTCAATAGTAGACAGTCTAAGGTTAAAGCTTTTGGGGTTTGGGGAAGAAACCACAGAGTCAGGTAGAGCAGGAGTCTCCAACCTTGGCCACTTTAAGCCTGGAGGAATTCTGGGAGTTGAAGTCCTCCAGGCTTAAAGTGGCCAAGGTTGGAGACCCCTGAGGTAGAGTATTCCAAACATTGACCACTCTGTTGCTGAAGTCGTAATTTCTGCAGTCACGTTTGGTGCGGTTAACCTTGAGTTTGTATCTATTGTGTGTCTTCCCTGCCCTGAAGGACGATCCTCAACGGAAACTTTTCTGCAAGCCCATGAAGAAATATGGGCAAATCTTGGAAAGCCTTTTAGAAGTTTCTCAGCCTAGCGGACCTGGGAAAGAAACAACTCTGAAGGCATCTCTGCAAACCATCCAACTCTCTGCATGCCTTGGGCAAAAAAAAAAACAAAACCCAAAGCAGCCTTTTGCCAAAACTTGAGAAGGAACTACTCAGACCACAAAATACCATGGGCAGAAAGATGTGTGATATTACAGGGTGGAGCACCAGGAAAGGAACACCACCCATGTCTATTTAAGCCAGGGGTGTCCCAACCTGGACAGCTTTCAGACCTGTGGATTTCAACTCCCAGAATTCTCCAGCCAGCCATGATTATAAACAGCTCCTGATTATAGAAAAGAACCAGGTGTCATCAGCTCGGAGGCACCTGATTAAAAAGCATGATTCAGGAAGCTGAAAAGATTACATTTTCCTCTCTGTTAAGGAGCTTTTCCTTTGACCCAGAAGGAAAACAAGCTTTTGGCCAGGAAGCAGATGGCAGTGACCTGTTATGATACACGTGTTATAATTTGGGGGTAATCGTGCGCCCCAGTAAGTATTTCAATTCAGGTGTACATGGCTGTTTAAATCAGCAGTGGCAAGAAAGATCGTACAATGGAGCCAAGTTCATTTTATAACTGTCTTGCTTAGCAACGTAAATTTTGGGCTCACTTGTGGTCATAAGTCACAGACAACCTGTACAACTTTTGATTGCAAGCTAGGGTGAAACCCATTAAGCAGTTGATTAGCTTCCTTTGGTCAAAGCAGTTTAAACCTGCCACTGCTGGCTGGAGAATTCTGGGAGTTGAAGTCTACCTGTCTAAAAGTTGCTAAAGTTGAGGAACACAGATCTATATACTTACACACCCATTAAATATAGTGCATGCACTTTCTTGCGTGTGTATATGTAACACCGTAAATCAGGGTACTCAAGTGGCTTTGTGGGCAAGGAAGCCTTTCTTGAGCATTGATGGCCATCATCTAGGTAGAATCTCAAAATTCCTGAGTTGACTTTTACTCAGCTTGATAGCTGCCAAGGTTTGGGGGACCGTAGCTGATTAGGGATGTCCATGGAAGTCAGTGTTATTTATGCAATCTTTTTTCGTTGCATTTTCACAGGTCAGGAGGCAGAGCTGGGCCTGTGAAGTTTCCCACTTTAGGTGCCAAAACAAATTGCTTGGCTCTAGGTGCTGTGAACTTTGATGTCAACTTTGATGAGGCGAGGCAGATAGGAGAACCGGCAGTGTGGGCTCAGAAGAATTATGTTTACTTTATTATGGTTATTTATTCCTAAGGTTGATGTTCCCATTCTCATGCTCGTAAAATCAGGTCAGACATATAACTGATCCCCTTTACAAGCATCACGACTTATGACGATCGTAACTTGAAGACCACCTGTATGAATTTAATAGCTTGGGGGTAAGTTGTTCTATAGGTTTGGGGCCACTACCAAGAAGGCGTTTATAGGTATTATCAGGGAAATTCCATGATAGGCCAGGAATGAGACCAAAAATGAATCATGAAGAATGTAGAAAGAGCCAGCATGGTCACACTCCACTCAGTATCAAGGATGCAGCTGTAGAGGTGGTCAGCAGTATTAAATATCTGCGGGTGCAGATAACTAACAATCTGAACTGGTCTCTCCACACATCATCCTCAGTGAAGCGTGCAAACCAGCGCCTGCATTTCCTGCATTGGATGAGGACAGCACATCTTTCTCCTTCTGTTCTGGCCACATTTTACAGAGGCACGATTGAGAGCATTTTAACAAACTGCATCACTGTTTGGCTGGGTGGCAGCAATGCCTCAGATAGAAAGTCCATACAGAGAGTGGTGCGGACAGCGGAGAAGTTTATAGGAACCTCATTTCTTGTTATTCAGGATACTGCTTATAAACGCTATGTCCTTAGAGTTCAAAGCATTGTTAGAGACCCCACACACCCACTTCACAGTCTGCTTCTGTTGCTCCCCTCTGGGAGGAGGTTTCGAAGTATTTCTAGCAGGACTTCCAGATTCTGTAACAGCTTTGTTCCCTATGCCATCCGTCTGGTAAACACCCAAGATTCGTTTTTCTTATCATGTACATGTCTACATCTGAACTAGACTGTGTTGTTTCTCCATGTATGTAGGTACATGCATATATGTAGATACATGCATCATTATCTATCTATCTATCTATCTATCTATCTATCTATCTATCTATCTAT